ATCATGAGAAACAAAGACCAAATGTTTTCAGACTGAACACGATCACCATGAATACTTGCTGCCTTCAAGGTGATGAGTATCGTGGCGTTTTAATAACCTGATTTCAGCATATTTCATACAGCTTTTTGAAATTCGCTTAAGCCAGTTTAGTTCACCCGTTGACTTCAAAATCAACGAATTTACCTTATCCAAAATTATGATTTACTGATGTTGACTTTAGCCCCACTGTCATAGCCATTTATACACACCATCTGTTAGTGCCACTAGGCCAGCTGCGGGGTCACTTAACAACATGATGTCCTCGAATAGGCGACGTCCGTTAGAAATACTGTTGTGCACGCAGCATTACTAATAGCGGTAGGTCTTTCGATGTTCTTTATTGCCCAACCCAGCATTATGTTTAGGAGCAACAGATGAGAAACTGTTTGTATTTAACCACACTTCTGATGAAGGACAAGTCAGACAGCAACCATTCGGCTATGACAGAACGTCTGTCACTTCATGCCAGGCTCAACATCGCTTGTGACAACCTTGGCGACAAATCATGTCATATCAGTCGTGATGAACTGAATCGAAAGCTGCAAGCAAATTCAGCAAAGTCTCGTACTGGGCATTCGAATGTGCCGGTACTACTTGTTCGATAATCCGTTTCAGCAAAATGCTGTTCGTGCATGAGTGTCCAGTGGGAAACGCTGATTCCGAAAACCCTATGGATTAAGCTGAATAGATTTTCGCCATCGCACGTCAGAATTTCCACACCGATTTAGTTATGCCACCAGGATAATGAACTTCGGCAGTCGCATCGCATCTCTAACTTATTTTACCGACGCCACGGTGCAATTAACATCAAAATCTTCTCCACCACTTTCTTGCACTTCACGATGTACCGCAGGACTACGCCTATCAACCAGCCCTCAAACTAGTTTATTTATCGTTTCAGATGGTCACCAGCGTCTTGCAGCGAACCGCTGGATTGGCATAGTGAATTATGACTTTTGTTCCACTGGCGATGGTGTTTACCTCGTTGTATAGCGACTTCCAGTCCTGCTTCTGTGCTGTGTTTTCTAACTTGAAATTTCAATAACCGTTATTTGTCGCACTGGTAGTCTTGCTGACGACATTCAACGAGGAAATAGTTTTTTGGGATCAAATATTGACACCTATTTTGCTGCGCATATTAGCTGGATAAAGTTCGGCATTTCATTAACAAACTACAGCAGCCTCGGCGGCTGAAGCCAATAAGTAGACTTGCAAGACGCAACGGTGGTGCATTCTTTCAGATGACTATAGAGAAACCCTATTTTATTTGATGCTGCTTTCTCCAATACCAAAGAATGTGTTGTTGATCTCTATGTGAAACGCTTCGTTAACGACAAAGACCTTCAGCTTGTCCGTATCGAAGCAATAGTTTCTCACCCTTTCAGCCGTTCATAAAGCCACTGCCAAACAATGAGGCACAGCATTGCTTAAATGTTCGAAATTTGTTGTACCGGTGTATTTTGGACAGCATTTCGTCATCTGAACTCTGCCGTTGACGGTGACAAGCCTGGATGAGAAGGAAGGAGGGTTACGGAAAGTGGCGAGATCTCCCGTAAAACTTAGATAACTACTACTCATGGCAGTGCCGTGATTCAACGTTACATCGGCTCCGTCGTCGCCTGGGTTACCAAGGAGAACTGAGGCACGATGCAAAAAATCGGTGACGAGAAACTGCTTCTCGCATTCTGGCAGCAGGAGGCGCAGCAGCACGACCACGTCGAAAAAAAGGCGACGAATGTCACAGTCAGCAACGGAGCAGCTACTCTTTCTCTACGAAAAAATCAGACAGTGTAGTGCTATTATAGCACGTTACATAAGGTTAAACGGGTATAATATCGCGAGTAGTAACTCACAGTCAAAACTAGGAAATCTCCTAAGAAAGAG